TGTGAGGAAGTCCTCTTCTCCCGAGACCAGCAGGTGGATGCCCTCTTTCCTGTATTGAGCCCGCCCCTATGCTTCCGACCAAATCTGAATCTGATTGGTCTGGTGAGCTTCGCTGCTCCACCCTGCTGACTCACTGGGACCCCACCCCACCTAACTCCACCAAGGTTGGAGGCGCTATCTCCCGAACAGCCAGCCCCATTCACACTGCACTATTTCTTGAAAAACTATCAGAGTCCAGAAGGCCCGGGGAGGGCAGTGGCTGGCCTCGGTGTGCTCTGAGACTTTTCCTGAGTAGCTGCAGGCTCAGCACTGGCACCAAACCAGAGACTACAGTAACCTGCTGACCACAATGCTTCCCACTCTAGTGACTCCCTGAGACCCTGCCACACCCAACTCACATTTCCTACAAGAATTTATTAGCGTCTGAACCTTAAGGGAACTGGCAGGTGGCAGCAGGCCTCGGGTTGTGCTGGATTTTTGAGGAGCTATCCCAGGCCCATTACTAGTGGCAGATGTCCTCAGTTTGCAGCGTGGCCTGTCCCACATGCCTCCAGGGTTGGCACAGGCAGCAAACAACCACAATTGCATTGTAGTTCCTACCAGGTAGTCCCCGCCTGCTCACAGGCAGTGGGTGACCTGGGCCTGCACCAGAGCCCCTCCCAAGAGGCCCCAGAACCAACATACTTGGAGGTTGCCTTCAGACCACACCAGAGCACCTCCCAAGTATCCCCACAAGCGGCGCACACGAAGGGTGGTCTCAACAGGCACCAGAGCCCACTGGGGCAAATCCCATTCAGTGGGGTCAGCCCCCACACAGCAGCCCATAAGCTGTGGATGTGGCCAAACGCCCAGTCAGTCAGCCTGAGGGTCAACCCCACCCACTGATGTGCCAATAGAGATAGACAGATGCAATATGATTTCACTTATATGTGGAATCTGAAAACAAAATGAACAAACAAAACAGAAACACTCATAGATACAGAAAACATTTTGATGGTTCCCAGACAGGAGGGGGTTGAGGGGTGTGGGTGAAAAAGGGGAAGGGATTGAGAAGTAAGAATTGGTTGTTGCACAGCTGTCATGGGGATGTAAAGTAAAGCATAGGGAATATCATCAATAATATTGTGAAAGCTTGGTACTGTCAGATGGTTGCTGGACTTATCATGATGATCACTTCTGTAGGTCTATAAATGTTGAACAACTAGGGTGTATCCCTGAAACTCATAAAATGTTACATGTAGCTATATTTTATAAAAATCTTTAAGAAAAATTAAAATAGGCAAAGTCCTTGGATAGATTAATTCTGCAAAGAAAATATGCAAATGGTCAACAAGGACATAAAGAGATGCTCGGTATTGTTAGTCATTAGGGAAATGCAATCAAAACCACGAGGTACAGCCTCACAACCACTAGATGGCTAAATTTGTCTTTTAAAATGGAAAACAACAAGTGCGGCAAGGCCTTTGGGAAATTGGAACCCTGTACATTGCGTGTAGGACTATAAAAATGTTTTCCACAGGGAAACAAACTGGAAGTTCCTGCAAAGTTTACAAACGACTACCATATGATCCTGTAATTCTCCCCCTGGGCATAGGCTGTGCTGTGGATGAGTCAGGTCCCCTCAGTTCACTTGCTGATGCCTTAACCCTCAGGGTGACTGTATTTGCAGACAGTCTTTAGGGGGTAATTAAGATTAAATGAGGTCCTTGGGGCGGGGCCCTAATCCAGACGACATGATGGTGTCTTAGGATGTGTGGTCTTTTAAGGAGAGGAAGATCCTTGCTCTGCTTGAACACAAACAAGGGGCCATGCGAGCACACGGCAAGACGCAGCTGCGTACAAGCCAAGACAAGGGGCTTCGGAGTGAAACCGGCCTCGCCAGCACCTTGATCTTGGAATGCCCAGCACCCAGAACTGCGAGAAACAAATTCCTGTTGTAAGTCGGTGTTTTGTTAAGCTGCAGCACCAAAGAGCTGAACACTGGTGTCCATGTAAGGACTCGTCCCAGCCTGCTCACGGTAGCTCCAGCCACTAAGGTGGAAAGGGCCCAGTGTCCGCCAGTGATGACGGGCCAACAAGTCGTTGTACATAACACGATGCACCGTTACTCGGCCATAGAAGGAACGGAATGACTGACACATGCTTAGGTGACAGGAAACAGGCACAAACGGTCACTATTATGTTATTCCACTTACATGCAATGTCCAGAAAAGATGAGTCCAGACAGAATTCAGACTATTATTTGCCAGGCACTGAAGGGAGAAACTGCTTCACTAGGGAAGGCTTTTACTTTCAAGTGATAGAAATGTTCTAGAACCAGAGACAATGGTTGCTCAACATTGTAACTGCTAACGGGTGTCGATGAAAAATATCCAGCCTAAGAGAAAATTTATAAGAGTTTATTTAAGCCAAACTGACGACAATTGCTGGGAAGCAAAATCTCAATGGATTGAGAAAATTCTCCAGAAAATAGCCGTTTTGCAACTTACTTTATACATTAGAGTCAAAGGAGGAAGGTTCCATGAAATCCATTGGTTGTAGATTACGGGGGTGGGGAAACCAAAGCAGGGAAATCTCTGGGATTGGATAAAAAGTAAAATGGAGACACACACTTCTTTTACATTGGTGGGTACAAGATAGTTCATAGCATTTTACAGCACATGGAGATAGTATTTGGGGAACAGGGTAACAATGAGGGACTTTGTGGTTTCCTGCTCTGGTGTGGTGGGTTGTGCCCCCAAGGGGGTCCAGAAAAAGCGATTACTCTGATATTACAAGGGTATGTTATCTTAGATACAAAAAGATGACAGACAGGCTTAAGGTAAAGATTGACCTTTGTCAAGGAAGCTACAGGCCAAGGATGTGACTTCCCGCCATGGCCCACCTTTGTTAGGAATTTTTATGTTCATGCCATCCTCTGCAGTTATTTTCAGTCTCCTGAGCTTGTCAGGTTTAACATGTGACCCCTTTTCTGTCCACACGGGCACTGTACTGCTTACTTTAGAAGGGTTAATTTTGTTACGTAAATTCTATCTCAATGAACTATTGGGTCGTCAGGAAAGTCATGACGCATTTTTGCATTGAAAAACATAGAAAAATACGTTATGACTTTCTTGATGACCCAATATTACAGGATGGGGGTGGGTCCCTTGCATAAGGACGGTGCACTTGAAGCAGGCGGGTCTGGCCAGTGTAAGGGCAGGGGCTGTGTGTGTCGCTGGCACCCTGCCTGACCACTGACCTCAGGTGCTGATGGGTCAAGCGCATGGCTGCCCTTTTCCCCAGAGAACTGCCCTCGCCCAAACAGGAACTGTCCTGAGGCCGTAAGCTGCCCATGTACCTCCCCGCACACCTCGCAGCCTGGCACAGAAAGCCCCCTGGTCTCAAAGTGGGACCAGCTCTGTGGGGCAGCTGGTCCTCCCTGGGCAGAGATGGTAGGGGTGACTGGCCTCCCCTGGGACCACAGTCCTGCCCTGTGCCCACCTCACCCAGTGAGTTATCTGAACAGGAAGTGCTTCAGGCCGTGCATCTGGGAAATGCTTCAGGTGTGCAATTGAGAGTATTTGAATGGTATCTCAATAAAACCATTCTATTAAAAAACACTTATCAGTCATTTACAGTAACTACAGAGTTTCGTTGTTTGTAAAAGCCCCCCTCACCACGGGACACATTCCTGAAAATGCCTGGTCAGGTTAAATCTGTTAATTTGAAATTGTGTCACTAATTTAATGAGGAAAATTTTGTTCTTGACTCCCAAATACTCATTCTTTTTAAACCACAAAACTCCATTGAGATGGACTCAATTTCAGTAAGCCACGAGTTAGCCTGGACCCTCGCATGACAGCACGGCAGTGTCCCCTCACTGAAGTGCTGGATGGTCTGCAAGTTCTGTCGTGGCTTTTCACCCATTGGTGGGTACAAGATAGTTCAGACCCACAAAACATGCCCCGTACTCGGTGGGTACGCAAGTCAAACTTTACCATAAAAACAAAAACAGAATAAATAAATAGAAGCAATGGAAATAATGCACACGACGACCACAGAAACACACTCGTGAAGCATGAGTCCTGGACAGAAGTGGGAAAGGCAGCAGATGGCTCTGCAGCCCTCGCCTCCCACTGAGGACAATGTCACTGTCCTCCAAATGTGAAGGATAGCCTCACGCAGAAATAGGGTTTTTAAAGGAAGTGCTTCTTAAAGCTCATTTCTTGTGACCCAAATCGGAACAGTATGCATCATGGTGTGGCTGTGGTGCCCCTTGCTGCTTACCAGCAATGCCACTATGGCTACACCTGTCACCTGCTTTCTGTGCATGTTAACGACAAACTTGTGACGGTGACCCTGGCCTCACCATTCACTCATGTGTGGCCATACCCAGACCTCCTGAAAACCAGTGAACAGCTGTCTGCTCAAAACCATTTTTTAAATGTTGTTTGGCGGGCCGGCCGAGTGGCGCATTGGTTAAGAGCTGGCTTGGGATGCCAGAGGGCCCCGGTTCGGATCCCACATATGTGGGCCAGTGACACTGCCCTCTACAGCTAAGATGCTGAACAACAGCTCAACCTGGAGCTGGGCTGCCGTGAGTCCCCGGTGAGGGGGTGGGCTGCAAACCCTGCTGCAGTGGGTTGCCATGGGCTACCGTGTGGAGCCGGCAGCCAGCGTGAGTGGCCAGCAGCTGCTGTGACTGGCCGTCCAGTAGCCGGGGACTGATCTGCCTCACCCGGGAAGAGCGCAATGATGGTGCCAACTTGGGCCAGTGAAGCAATGTCCTCCACACCTAGACTGAAGAACAAAAGGACAGCAACTTGTCTGTTCCCCTTACCCCAATTCCCCAATAAAAATCTTAAAAAATAAAAATAAAAAAGATATAAATTTTAAAAAATAAATAAAATAAATGTTGTTTGGGAGACTAAAAAGGACGGATGCCCCCCAAATCCTGCATGGCCAGGAACAGGGCTGTCAGGGCACAAATCACGCCCTTCATGGAACTGCAATGAGGATAGTTCTGGGAGACAAAGAAGCCACCTAAACTCCCTTTTATTTAGGACACACACAAAGCATGTTGCCTGAGTCCATTTGCTGTGCGACCCTGGGAGGCTTATGCTGACCCCCAATTCTGCTCCAGCGTCTGCTGTGGACCTCATCTACGTGTCCTGGGTGCTTGCTGGTGCCGACCCATTCCTGCCCAAGTACAGGGAAGGGGACAACTGTGGAAGGTTCAGGCACCACGGGCCATCGAGTAGGGGAAGTGAATGGGACAGGCGGGTTTGCAGGAGGCAGAGTGGGTGACTGCCTGGAAGAGACACAGTTCAGGGCTGGTGGCTGCTGAAGGGAGGGGCATTCTGAAAGCTCCCTCCCTTCCCAACAGGCTGGACACGGAGAGGCCTCCTTCCCTGACTCAGGAGGGGGCTGGGCCCTCGACAGCACCGTGCTGCTCTTGGTCTGGCTCATCCTCCACCTTCTGCTCCAAGTCGAAGTTCTGCAAACAAGGTTGCAGGTGAGGTCTGGCCCCGCACCAGCCCAGCTGCAGGTCTGATGCTCGGAGGGGCAGACGCTGCCTGCAAGGGCGGGCCAGGGCCACTGCACCCTGCTGTCCCACAGCCTCGGAAGAGGCGCCATTTCCTCTTGTCTCCCCACTTGGGCCTGACCTACCTCAAGCTCCTGCAAAACCTCATCCATGAAGTCCTGGGAATTCTGTTTGTAAGACACAGCTAATCGAATTGCATCGTTGAAGAGCTGGGGGTGGCGGGAATGAAAACATGGCTGTGGGTTCCAGCGCCCTGGACTCTGCCTTCCTTGGACCCACTGGCCCCATCCTAAATCCACACAACACTCCACCCCTCAAAATCAGCAAGGTCACTGCTCAATTCACCTTCGTCCCATCACCCTGACTCTATGCATCATCGATGGACCGTCTCACCAGGCCCATCACCTCCCCTATTGTCAATACCTTCCTGGGTATTCCATGACCCCTTCCCTGTCACTACATGCCCTCTCCACCATCCCTTCTCTTTACAACTCCCTGTCCCCTCACCACCTGGCCTTCCCCTCCTCACTAGCCAGTCTCTACAGGCCATTACCTTCACAACGTTGGTGCCATCAGCAGCTGAGACAAAGTACAGGGGTAGGGAGAACTTCCTGGCGAAGTTGAAGCTTTTCTGGGTCACCTTTATGTCTGCTGCAGAGAGAAGGTGCGATGTTGGCCTGTCCAGCCAGGGAAAGGGGAGGGTTCTGCAGGGTGGGTCACTGGAGGCCCTCACTGCAGAAAGTAGGCTGCCTGGGTGGGCTCATTCACAGGCATCAGTGGGTCAGGAAGAGGACAGCTGGCTCAGCTGGCACCCGACTGGGAGGGGGGTGACGCAGGCACCCCAGGGCTGTATCTGGGGGAAAACAGGGGTCACAAAAGGCTCACTGCTCCAGAAAAGCCAGAGAAGACTGTGGTGGTGGAAGGGACCCTTGGAGCTGCCGACACCCAGATGAGGGGGAGCCCCACCGTCAATTTTATTGGCCACCACGATGCACGGGATCTCTGGCCGGAACTCCCGTAGCTCCGTGTACCAGGTGTGTAGGTTCTTGTACGTGACTTTCCTCTGCACATCAAAGACCTGCAGTGAGCAGAGGGAGGCAGCTCAGTGTCTGCACGCCACCCCAGGCACGTGAGCAGGGTGCATGTCACAGGCTTGGGGACTTGGCCTAGGCACCTGCTTAGAGCTGTGCCTGTGCCTGCCCTTCTCCAGAAAGCCCCTAGAAACTCCAGCGAGTTCCAAAAGCGTTCTTAAAAATCTGTATTCCTTTTTAATCTTGTCACCTAGTCTTAACTTTTTGTTAACCAAGCTGTATCATCTTACTAATCGATAGCTTGTTACAAATTGTAAACTTTTTTCTCAGTCTATTTTTTTTATTAAATTCTTAAAATTCCTTTGAAATAATTTTAAACATTTCTAGAATTTCCCTTTAGAAAATTTTGATTTACTTCTAAGCTTTTGTTTTTTGTTACTTCATATTTTAAACTTTCTCAAAATAATTCTTACATTTCATTGTTTTGTAGCTTATCATAATTTTATTAACTTTTTGCGACTTAGTTTTTACCTACTTGAAGACATCTGAAGCAAGCACGAGCACTGTGACCTGCCCTAAGGCAGGGCGGCCCTGGCTGGCTGCTGCAGGAACCCTTCAAGCCCCTCCCAGGTCACCTCCTGCTTCCAAGCTGTGCTGCGAACAGACCCTTGGGCACAGACAAGCCTGTGACCTGCTGGAATGGCTGACCTTCCAAATCACCCAGCCTGTCACAGAAGTTGCCCTGCCCTGCGGGCACAGGTCAGCTGCTCTCACACCCAAGGCCCAGTTTCAACAAATGACGTCTTGAATTCCCAATAAAGACTTCTGATAAGCATGCCTGTAAAGATACTTCTGGAACCTGCTTCACACCAGGCTGCCCCCTTGACTCCATCTAACAGTCACCTTTATCCTGGTTTGGCTCTGGAGCTTCTGGGTTTTGAGAGATGAGAAGCAGAATCCTCATCAGGGTGTCAGGGTGGAAGTGGCACCCCAGTTCCCTTGGGGGCTGCCAAGTCCCCACGTGGTCATTAGGTGGAAACTGCTCTACACCTGCCAGGTCCCGTGCAGCCGGCTGGGGCTGATGGGGTGCACCTGCCAATGCTGGCACCCCAGCCTCAGCAGGGGATCCCGAAGGAGGCAGGTGGTCCCTCCCAAAGAGGTGAGCTCAGAGCACAAGGGCCAGTATAGAGCTGAGACAGAAATGGTGGGACCACCTCCCAGGTCTCAGAGGTCGGAGATGTTGACTCTGGAATCTGGACGACTCGCAGTGTGGCTTCTGCCACCACTCTGCCCTCATTTGCCTTACCCTGTCACGCTTTTCTGTTTTGTCCCCGGATAGGTACTACTTAGAATTTTTGTGAATTTCAGGGGATTCTGCGCTTAAGGGACAGTGGGGGCTCAGAACGGAACCAGGGGTTTCACTGCAGGTCACAAAGGACACAGGTTCACACAAGCACTCCTCCTTTCCTGGCCTCTCCCACAGCTGAGTCTCAGGTCCTCTCGTGGCACTTACTACCCCTGGCTACTGCTGTGGGCCGCAGAGGATTGTGTTCTGGATAGCAACGTGAAAGCTGGTTTGGGAGGGAAAACCCCTGGACCCAGGGTCCTCTCAGCCCCAGCGTCAGTTCCCAGAGAACAGCAGCAGGTGACGGTCAAGGACTCCCCCAGCACTGCTGGGCCCCTCGGCCCCACCCCTCAGGCCAGCCTTGCCCAGAGCCTGTGTGCCTCCCCGCTGGCCTCGTACCATGATGCAGGCATGGGCCTTGTGGTAGTAGGAAGCGTGCATGCTCTGGAACCGCTCCTGGCCCGCGGTGTCCCAGAAGTCTGCAATGTGAACACAGCTTTGACTGCCTGCGGGGGGCTGGCGGGCAGAGCCCGGGGCACCGAGTGCCCGTGTGCAGAATCACCATGCACATGTGGAGGGCACGGGGAGAACAAAGACCACACAGCTGCCACCTGTGTGTTGCACCTGGGTGTTCCATGACAGGTGTGTGTACACGTGTGTGCATGGGGGTGGGTGAGAGGGATACGCAGGCCAGCAGGAAGGAGAATACGGACTGGAAGCCCCAAAAGGTAGGAGGTAGGTGCCCCCCTCCCCCGAATCCACAAGATGCAGGACCTGCCAAGATAAACAGCAGGCTGACTTCCCAGATGTGGTGAGTGGTCACACAGGACGCGAGGCCTGGCCAAGGTAAGGCTGTGACCTCACCCGAAGTAAAAGCCCTTTCTGGAGGGCGGACCATGTTTGTTATTTCTTCCCACAGGCTACCAAAAACACCAGGTCAGAGCACAGGCCCTGCATGCATCCCACCCTCCGAGGCCTCCTGGCTCTGCCCCTGCCTGGGGCCTACTTCCCCCCCTGCTTGACTCTCCCAGGACCTCCCCTCCCTCAAGAGCAGGAGCTAGACCTTGTACCGCTCACCCACAAGGACGGTCTTGCCATCCACCGTGGCCGTGTGCTTGTACAGGGTCAGGGCGTATGTGGACAGCTGCTGGGGCTGACTGCAGTCAGGTTAAGGAGCAGAGAGCAATATCCAGGCAGGTGAGGAAGGCGAGTGGGATGGGGGGGTGGGGGGTGGGGA